TCCCACCCTTCCCCCACTACTTCCTTGCCTCTAGACTAATTAATTAATTGAAATTAATTAATTAAACAAACATTAAAGTTTACACCTTAGCACCATAGCACCTTAGTTCCTTAGCGGCAAGCAGCTCCCATAACCATCCCAATAGTGCACTCTGCACTAAAAACCTATTTCGATCAACATGTGCAGCAGTTTTTTATTCCGGTTATGTTTGAAGCCCCATTGGATATAAACCCCTCTGTTTATAAGACCATCTAAAAGCGCTTATGGAGTTGTGTAAGCCCATGGCTTATAAGCAGCAGTTTGCAGTACAGTGAAAGGGAAATTTCCTCTTATCACTGCTGGAAATTAGAAGCATTTATTCAACTAACTAAAGGCATATACTATTTTTCTTTCAGATGATTTGTTCTGGCAATGTTGTTAGCCTGCAAGGAAACACTTACAAAGTGATGCATGTGGTGTGTTCTTTAACTTGCTGGCTTCTTCCTTGGATTCCTGTGGGTGTTGTACTGGGCTCCAAATCTACTTCATACCAGCCATTTAATATGCGTCTCTGTTATCCTATTGGTTCCAGAGGCACAGGGTTTTTTACAACAGCTTTCATAACAGCAGTGTCCCAGGGAGTTGGTTGCACCTGCCTGTTCTTTGTTGTGTACAAGCTCTTCATGGTAATTATAAAGCAAAATTTTTGGATTGATCAGGAGCAGATTTAAGAGTGGCCCCCCTCATCCTCAGAGACCAAGGGGCAACTAGTCAGGACGATGCGATATTTTCAGACGAGGCGACTAGTTGCCCTGGGTCTCCAAGAATGGCCACCCCCCTTCTGGGGAAGCAAACAAAATTGAAATAGATTGTGAATGTTATGGCAGAAATAAAGGCAAACACTCTGGACAGCTACCTCATTGTCAGTAATTCCTACTTTGTGGCATTGCTAGTATTTCTGAATGCCACCTGTTTCACACCCAATCGAGTTCGCACCTCTGATCAAAACTCATTATAAACTTTATATTCGCATTTGCCTCCACCTTTTTCAAGTTTACCCCATAATTTCAAGTTTGCTCCCATGAAGTCTGATATTTTTTAGTCTGTTTAGTGTTAACTCCAAGGTCAATGGATAAAGGAACAAGAAATAAAACGTTTCACGTGATTTTGTTCCATAATTTATGCCAACAATGTTTTTTTTTTCTTTTATTAAATATTTTAACAATACAATAAAATACATTACTTGCAATACTACATACTTACACTAATAACAATACACTATGTCACATACGGCTAATTACATAACTTATGGTACTTACAATACTAGTTACTTACACCACTGTCAATTACAATACTATTCTCACACTATGCAGATCCTTTTTTTTCTTAATTGTTATTATATTACAGTGACACCTAATACATACATGTAGTTTTTTTTTCCCTACATGTACAAGCTTACAGTTAAGTAATAAATATGAAATTAAATATTAACCATAAACATCAGCAGCATATAAAATTAACATAAAAAGGCCCACGTGCGATAAAATTTTGGAAGTGCTTTTTTTTGCAGTCACAATCTCTTTAAGAATTTCAAGTTTTGTGGGATTGAACGATAGAAAGTTTTGAAAATCTAAAACATCTCCATGAAGGCTTGTGCAGAAAATACAACATTTGGCCAACAATGTTCATTTGTCTTTTTTGCTCAGTTAGAGAAAAATAAATGTTAGTAAGAATGATTCAAGAAAGATAAATGTTAAGAATGAGTCAAGATATAGAAGTTTAACAGTACATGGGAGTAAACTCAATCATCCAAGCAAACTTGATCACTAGTTGAGTCAATGTGGGTGTGAACTTGGTGGGTGCGAAACCTGCAGCTACCATATTGTGTTGTCCCAGAAAATATCCATACCCCTCCTACGGAAGGTTTTTTTTGGTTAGAACCCTCCCACTCCTCCAGAAATTCCAGTTTGGCTTCATAATTTCTTTTAAAATTTTGGTTTTTGAAACCCCCCTCCCCTTCAGAATTTCCAATAACCTTCCTTGGGGTGGGTGGGTTTGGGTATTTTCCGAAAATGCACATTTCTAGTCTAACAGGGTTAGGGTTGGGGTTGGTGCCATTGAGTTAGCAGTTATACAAACAGAACAAGTCAGAATGCTTCAATGGCCATGCATATTCAGTTAAACTTATCAATATTTTATTAATCGTTAATAATTATTTCAACATTTGCTCTAAACACTTGACATGCTCATCAAGAGCCAAAGCTCAATAGTCATTAATTTTGCATTTTTAAGGTGAACCCTGCCTATTTCCCAATAACATGCATGATCAGAGTGTTATTGTCTAGTTGTAAGAATGCTATATGCTATGCCTACTCCTCTCACCACTACTTGCCCGATGCTTGTTAATTAATTCCGACACAGCATTCATGTAAAACAGACCTTAATTTAGTTTACTTTTCTTTAATAGTTAGCAATATTTTAAATTATAGAAGATTAATCTGTATACATAGTCTTTTGTAATAAGTTGTAGCTTTTATATTAAATTCTTAATGCCTGATGTATTTACCGTGTTTTTAAATAAAGATGGTGATGATGATGATGATGAGGGTCACCAGATCCCCAAATGTATAACAAAAATTCTTTATGCCGTAATTAACAACAATTCGTCCTCCAATTTATCTTTCAGCAACGTGACATTTCCACGGTCATTGGTAAACAAGCTGAACTGAGGAAGAAGAAGATGAATAAGGTGGTGAAGCGCCTGGTGATTCTCATGATTGGATATGCTGTCATCATGGCTCTCGCCTATATTCCAGTCTGTATAATGCAGCAACATTCCAAACTACTGGAATATTACACAAACCAGTATTTTTCTTGCTTGATGTTTTCACCCCCTGGCCATTGTCCCAAAAGTAAGTACCAGTGGAAAAAAAACAGCTAATCTTTTTTAACAGCCCAATTACGGTCAAACCAAGTGAAGCGTACCCCTCAAGATTACATCAATGAATTGATTATTTGAATATTGAACCCGCTAATCGTTTCAGGAATGCAATAATGAATTGAGTAATTGAATATTGAACTCGCTAGTCATTTCAAAAATCAATATTAAGTTGATATTTTTGAACATTAAACCCATTAGCCGTATTCTTGGAATGACTAGTGGGTTCAATTTTCCAATAATTGCATTCTTGAAACAACTAGTGGGTTCAATATTCAAATAATCAATTCATTAATTTAATTTTGAGGGGTACACTTCACTTGGTTTGACTGTAAAGCTTGGGGGGACTCCTATATAAAAAGGGCGGAGGTGCTCATCAGAAATTTTGAAAAGAACCCCTAAGAGGTACCGGGCCAAGATCCTGTTTTGTGGGCGTGGCTTGAAATTTTTTTTCCCCTAAGAGGTACCAATTCTAAAACAATACATTATCTCAGGACTGTTATATTTTTTTGGCCCAGTACTCTAAAAGGTATGGGAAAAGCTCCTGCTGTAGACCTTTTTAGGCTGAACACCCTGAGAGGTACCAAAACGACTTTTTAAACCCCTAAAAGGTACATCGAGCACCCCGTTCTTTTTATATGGGAGTGCCCCTCCCAGGTCAGATTAGCCCGTTCGCACAGCCCAAGTACAGTTGACCCCACTATTTCGAACTCTCAGGGGACTAGCTTATTCCAGGCTCTNCCCCCCCCCCCCCAAGTAGTAAAGATGACCACCTAAAATTACAACAGCTTTCTTGACCTGAGTAAAGTGCGAAAATGGTGGGCTGTGTGTGAACATTTCCCAACCTGAATGGCCAGTCGTGTCCAACCCTCAGGGGCTAGGCTCTGGGCAGGAGGCAAGTGACAATTCAGGCTACATAATCATTTTTTACTCATGAATTTTATTTTGTCTATGTCACTTAAATGTTGCTAATTTATTTCTAAAATTTGTTAATCAACAGCCTATGAGAAGTATGCGTTTTCCCGTGTCTCTGTTGTGTCTACCCTGTCCTCAGCATTTTTCGCCTTGATAACTGTGTGTTTCTTGGCATTTAACAAGCAATCACGCAAACTGTGGAGCTTTTGGTGGTTCAGAATACAATCCTGTTGCGGTGGAAACAGCCAGTGATAAGTATGAGGTGGAGGTGAATAATGGTGGATATTTACTAGTCTGCAAAATGGCAAGTTAAGGTGGCCAAACACGGTTTTTGCGCGCACTTTTGCTGATGCAATTCAGCGCACGCACAAGGATTGGAAAAAACAAATATGCCATCAATAGAGTGATTCAGCAATCATTTTATTTACTCAACACCCACACTATCTGTGCTATTTTGCTCTATATTTGAATGCAGTGTATTGTTGGCTTTAGTCTTTTATTACAAAGATATATTAGAAAAGGTAACGATGCAAAGAGCCCAGCAATTCTCAGCTTTTTCTTTGTTACTGAAAGAACCCAGTTAAATGCACAGTTGCTGGAAGAATTGAGACCGATTGCTTTTTCAGAAACTTGCTGATTTCTAACAATCCAGTCATTAGAATTTCAAGAAATTTGGCAAAAAAAATAGTTCAGAAACCACGTGAATGATCTATCACAAAAAATCTGAATTTCGACATAGGGAATTTTTAATAATACAGAACATGCAGTGAACACGATTTGCGGCAAATTACGAAAATCGTCTACACTGTATGTCAAAATTTTATTAGACCAGTGTTGACAGAAAGGATTTAATGTCAATTCGTAGTGGGCAAATGATGGAAAAAAATTTTACAACTGGATTTTTTTTAAAATAAACCATTTTTAAGCCTTTTATTTAACCAGCCTCGTTGCCACGCCAACAGCACACACCTTAGGCAAAATGCGAGAATAAACCCTTTTGTGGTTAACCTTGACTCTTACAAAAAACGGGCGCCAAAGCATAAAGAGTTTAAAAGTAATGGTGAATTAGGCACTTGAAAACTGTGTTCGGCCACCTTAAATATCCATCACTTTTCACCAACACTGAGATGATTAATAATTTACAATTATTCCATGGGCCAATCTGATATGAAATGATAGATAGCCAACGAGGCAGTGCCCACCCCCAGTTGACTATAAACATCTCATATCAAAGAAGCATGAGTGGAATAATTGCTTGTATAATTTTTGCAAATGCCCCCAAAATACAGAAAGCTAAAATAACATAAAAACAAAAATGCCCAAAAAATTATGCCCATCAGCTTACCGTATTTTTGTAGAGCATGGTAAAATTGCTAATACCATGATGGCTAAGCCAGTGAAATCTCTTGAATAGCACTATCCAATGATCAAGTTTTTTATAATATAGTTTAATTGTTTTACTTAGTATAATTTATGTATACTAAACCAGTGAAACAGTCTGCCTCAAATTTATAGTTTAATTTTAAGATGAAAGATGAAAACACCTATTTCAAAAGGGCAAAAAGTGTGGGGAAAGTCACATGATAACAAAAGCATTAGACTGTTTTGTCTACCAGTAAAAATTGAAATTTTTTTAATCTCAATGTGAAAGTTTTTGTGTTCATTTTTACTGATATATCACACATGGAGAGTTTCATTCTTCTGATTGACAACATGTGCTCTTACTACTGCATGCATCATTTACATTTGAGGTTGAAAACTGCAAAGCAAAGTATTTAATTCACTTGTTTGGTATATGGTGTCCTAACATATTATAATAAGGCAAGTAATGAGATTTAAAACTTCTTGTTTTGTCTGTTCTATTTTTGCTGGGGAAGATAACAATGTTTAAGAAAACAGTTTAGACTGTGAGCAATCTCTTATTTGCGCCAGCTTATTGTTTAATGTGCAAGAGGAAGGTTAAGTGTGGGAAATATTCAGAGCCTGATCAAAGCTGCTAGAAGTCACAAGAATTGCTGGCTTGGGAAGAGACAATAGTCTTAATAGCTTATAAGGAAAACTCTGGCTTAATTTCTTCTTTGCCAATCTCTTCATATTTTTACAACTGACCTATTTTCTCATTTTCACAACTGACTTGCAAAACTAAAAAGATTGCTCACAGATAGGATCTGACATGATGAAGAGTGCAAGTGCTTGTAGTGTAACATTTATCCTAACTACATTATCCACAAGATTTATAGCTATCTAATTTCTCGTAACATCATCAATGCATGGTCAGAAAGACAGGTGACGAGAGTTTAGAAAAGTATCAACATGGCCCAGCTTGTCTTTCACGAGAAAACAAGCTCAAATATTGGAATTGTATGTCTTGAGCAGTTAGTTATTTTCTTTCAGTGTGAAAATCAGCAGCACTTTAAAATGGCTGACTAAGACCATTACAGCATATATAATCAAATTTCTAAATAATTTATAGAAAACTAGAGATTAAGAATAATTGTTAATATATTAGGAAGTGTTACATATAATGGAACCTCTTATAGCTACAAGAGTTTGCAAAATGGAAAGAACTGGACAGAATTAGACATAGGTCAGGTGGCTGCATGGGTAACTTTTACGACTGTTTTTGCATACATTATATTTTTTTTAAAAAAGACACTGAAATAATAGAAAATCTCTTATGACTAGTTGATCAGTTGATCATGACTAGTTGATCGAGAACACACTCCGATAACTTGACAATATAGTAAATATAATTACAGATGTAAAGCAATGTTTGGCAAGCAAACTAGTGCAAGTGATATCCTGTCTACTATCACACAAGCTATTGCCAGATACTAGCCTTAATTAGATGGGTTTAGCTATTACAGAAAGGTGGTATTGGAAGCACCTCTGGTGTGGAAATTGTGTTACATTTTCAGCACCGAGTTATGAAAGCCTAGATATCCTGGTTTTAAGCTTGCTAAAGCTTCTTGTCACAAGTAAAATAATTTCCCAAATAAATTATTTGGCAAGTTTGTTCCTGTGGTGATGAATAATTTATTTACATTTATAAATTTGAAAAAGGTAATATCAGTCAGTGAATCATGGCCTACCAATGCAACATGACAGTTTTTTTTTAAATCAGACATTGTGATGTTGTATCCTTACATTAATTTTATCTTTATTTTTACACACTCCAGTTGTTATGTTCCAATCTTTCAAAAGGCATCATCTTATTTTGAAGACAAAAGTTCTTTGACTTCTGATTCGTTAATAAGAAAACCACACTCAAACAGAAGATTCTCATCTACATAATCCTTTAAACATTCTATAGAGTACTTCCAAAGTGCATCTTGGTGGTGTTCATTCCTGTAAATGAAGCAAAAAGCCATCTTTATGAAAAAAGTTGTCTTGGCTGATCAAGTCAAAAACTGGCCCTCAGTTAGGTTTGTGCATGCTCTCGATGTTTTAAGTTGTCTCTGACACCCAAGACAAAAAAATGCAATGTTACATGAAAAAAGATGGCTTCCCCTCCCCACTTTTGATAAATTAATCTGAGGTTTTTAAAGGGGATTAACCAAAATAAATGTTTTTTTTGTTTTTTGTTTTTTTGTGTGTGTGTGTGTACGTGTGTGTGTGTGTGTGTGTGTGTGCGTGTGTGTCTAAACCCAAACGTGGTTTCTCTTGTTTCAGTTCCCTAACTGCCCAGGAGCCATGATAGAATTTATTTATTAAGATATAGAAACTGACCTGTAGGCTTTGGTAAAGTTGGCTATTATGGACAATGCACCATTTGACTTGCTATATTGGCATAATTTAGCAAGAGTGTTTCTGTCTTTTCCTGAGCTAAATTTCCTTACAGGTGCACCGAGTGTTAAGTGTTTCTTAAGCTACTGATTGTTCACGGACAGAAAAATCATGTTCAGGACAAAAAAATCTTCATCTGTTTTACTGCACGTTTCAATAACACCCACACTCAAAAGTTTAAAACCCAACAAAGAACTGTGTTTTTGGCAGCTGTCAGTCATAATAATTAACAACAACAAACAAGCCTTTAAAAAAGAGGCACTGAGGTAATTGCACCGCAGGAGCAGAGCCAGGGGCAGATCCAGAAAATTCAGATATAGGGGGTCGAGGACATTGCATCAGAGTGCAGGCCTGCTCTAAAGATGGTTGGTCTACTTTTTTGACAATACAAGCAAAAACGGGGGGGCACAGCCCCCTCGCCCCTACACTAGGATTACTTGCCTTGCCAACTGAGATGGCTGAGCTGGTTTGCAGTTTATGTAATAAACACCACTGACTCCAGCCAGCTCTGGATTGACAGCACAGTTGATAGTTGTCATTGCACCCCTTTCAGGTGTTTCTAACATTCCCAAAACATTCATCACCTTGAAGCCATTTTTCAGAAAAGATAAATCTTGAAAACTCCTTGTTATCTCTGTATTGACCTGAAGAACACATATAATAATTTGCCATTGTTAGTGATTGTGATCAAGATGTCAATGACACTAACAACATTGTAATAGATGGATGAAAGATGCGTTGTGAAAGATTTCTGGGTTAACAAATTATTTAATGAAATTTCTTAGCTATTAAATACCAATGATGCTGCCAATGCTATTAATGGTGTTTCTGATAATGACAATGGTTCAGTCGTGGCAGATTGGAAACCAAAATTTAATAGAGAAGATTGTTTGACATAACTGTGTTTTTGCCTCACAATGCATTGCTTAACCACTTATACTTCTGGATACATAGCCAACATGAAAGTAAAGCATTCATTGGCATTCATTGATTTTATTCCATCTCAGCAGAGTATTAATATATTTTTATTTTTACCACGCCTGGGTGAAGGGCACAGAAGGTGATTCCCTGAGAAACTAAATGCTTGTGAAGATAGAACATTATCATGACCTACAACAAAAGTACAAATTTGGAAGTATTAGAAGCCAGTAAATTTATTCTTTAACCTTAGAAATATACAATTCTGATCTTATCACGAGTGTCAGTAAAGTCTTTGTTTTGATGTTACTCAACTGTTTCTAAAAATTGCTGGTGAAAGTACCCTCCTTCCTCCATTCAGGGGAGTTATCCTTGGCTCCCAAAATCATTTTTAATCATTTTTCCCCAATAACATGCCTTAGTGGTGTATGAGGCACACACCCCTAGGCCAGGGTGTGTGTTGCAAGTCATGCAACTGTATGGAGGAATGCTGGTACACAAAGGGAATGGGGGTGGAGTTCCAGCCCTCTCTCTGTCTCTCTGTAACTTTAAGAGAGAGGGACCCTCTCTCCCAAGATTGCATGACAGAGAGAGGGCCAGAACTAGACTGAGTACATTGATGCTGATAACCGTATAATTGTTGTCTGGGAGCTTGTTCATGATGGTTTAGGGCCACACTCACTAGACTGCTGGTAGTTGGTCTTTTCCCTTAAGGTCTGACAAGAGAAAGTTTGAACGCAAAAGGGCAGTATGGTCGGAAGGGGTTGGGGCAAAACAAGAAAAAATCATCCCAGCTGTGGACACGTTAGGAAATTTTCAAACCCTCTGTCAGCCTAACAGAAGGGTATGTGATTGGTCAATTGCACCTAAAGACAGTACGTTGATGGATCAGTAAAAAAGACGTTACAACATCCTGTGATGCCCTCAGATGGTGTAAGCTGGCTTTTTAAAGCATAATACTAAATAGAGTGTGAACATTTGAAGAAAAGAATTAATCTCACCATATATAGTTTAGACATGGAATAAAACTTTGTTCTGTCATAGCTCAGTTGCCCTTGAATGTTAGCTAGGTTGAATTCCCCTCTCCATCTTTCCATTCTGGAAGAAACAAAAATGACCCTTGCGTCTGCAGGATTAACAGACTGTTTCATCACAGGGAGCAACTTCAGTACCAGAAGAAGGTGACTCAAGTAATTTACCTGCAAATATTAAGGGAAAGGATTTTGATCCAGTTATTCATCCATTCAATCACTAATTCATGATTTTTTTGATTGAAATCTTTATTTTAGCATCATCACTGATCTGAAGGCTTCTCAAAATTGATATTACTTTTACCCTACTTATACCCTGGGTATGAAGATGTCTAATTATTCCACATAATAATTAATGTTATGAGTGAAACTGTGTACAGTACCTGAAAGTGTGTCTCAAATCCATCAGCTGTCAAGCCTCATTTTAATATTAAACAACAAAAATAATACATTAGAGGAAGACTAAAGTATAAAAAAGAAATATCTGAATATCAAAATCTTCTGCATATAGTGTTTGACACTTGGTGTGCAAACCAACCTTGATTAGCAAATGCAATTCCAGCGTTACATATTAACACATGCAGTGGATATCCAGTCTGTTTAAATTTTACCACAAACTCAACAGTTGAGCTTAGAGAGCTTAGATCAAGATGCATGTACTCCAGGAGGAGCTGGTGACTAGTGCCTGGTTCTCTCTCTTGTACTTCTTTTCCTTCAGCTTCAGCAGTGTTCAGACTTTTATCACCACTTTTACTTTTCTCAGTGCTTTGTTCGTGTTCCTTTTTCATCTTTTCAATGGCCTTCAAAATAAACAGCACTTTAAAAAAATAATTGGGGAATTTTTTTTCAGGGCAGTGGGCGGACGTACACAGGCTATACCATTTCATGTTTGGATTACAAGTGAACCATGAGAGTTAGCAGTTGATAGAATTTCTCGTTACAGCCTAATTAGGACATGAAAAGCTCTTAGCTAAAGCAGCTCCTTTTCTTGCCCCATCCTAATACTCCCTCCACTCACATTCCATTCTTTCTCCTGTTGTATCTAATTTACTTCCTGGTTATTCCTGGAAGGGTATGGGGGTGGAGAGGATGGGGCCAGAACCCGTTTCAATACTATTATACCCATGCTTTTCATTTTGCTCCTGATTCATGTCATTTGTTAGTGATTACCGCTTCTTGCAGGTTTTCCCCCTTGAGAGACCCTGGGGACCATGGTTATCACTTCTTACCCTATTTCTTACCCTCTCACTCATTTCAGTCAATTTTTATACCATAAAGCATGGTTCAATTCCGCCTGTTACCATCTCCCAGGGCAACCCCCAGGACAAGTCCAGCCCTTCATGCGCGGGGTTAGGGAATTGTTTAAGGTGGTCTTGTCCCAGGGGTAGGGGGTGGGACAAATCAGTTGTAAAGAGATTTTTTGTAGGAAATCCGAGAGAGTTTGTTTTGGCTTGGCTGGAACAAAACAATCTTTCTAAATCAAAGCCCATATTTGAAGGGAAGTTTATTTAATACAAATATGGAAACAAAAGAGTTACACATTATCACAGATTGAGTAATATACCTGTATATTGAGGAAAATGTTTGTTAGTCCTCTGATCATATAAAATCGGCAGCTATTGATTCAACCTTTTAAGAAAGTCAGATTTTTTTAACAGCTTTTTATACGGCTTTTATGTTGAAAGTATTCATTTGCAATTTGAAACTTTATATATGATTCAGTATTTTCTTTACTTTTTTGGATCATATTACCACCCTACAGATGTAGTTGAGGTAGACAGGAGTTTGGGGGCGGAGAATTATCTCCTTTTTCGTGCCCTGGGCCTGGGAATAATTAAGAAATGTCAAATCCCCGGGGGTATGCCCGGGAGGATGGCAACATGTGGAATTGACCACGCATAACGCAACGGTTGTTAGCGTGCAGCGTTGCGTGACAATATCAACTGAGACAACTTGTTTTTTCCTCAGTTTCGCTCTCTATTCGAGACAGCTCGTCTTGTGTGATAGATAGCATGGAATAAACCGTGTGGATAATTATTTATGGGCTATATGGAAGAACCTTACTTGATATTAAAGACAGTTCAATCGCTACATTTAAATGTATCTCGAGTCTTTTCTATGTGATTACAGAGTTCCCGAGTGTAGACCAGATGAACTTTCACCAGTATACTGACGTTCGCGTGTAAAATTCGTGCGTGTAGCAAAGCTAAGAATAACGTATTAATCATCTTGCGATAAATCGAGTATAAAATTCAGCTCCAAAGTCGATTCCTTTATGAAGGGTTTCCAAGTGGTGCCACCCAACCGTACTTAACTAAACGTGATTTAAAGTGGGTACCTCTTTCGCTCTTTCTTCCGAACGACAAGCGATAATAACCCTTGCTCCCATTCGTGCGATGGCTTTCGCAGTCTCATAACCAATTCCAGTATTTCCTCCAGTAACAATAACAGTTCTTGATGATGACAGTGCAGGAGCTGGATAGGACGACGAGGCACCCATGGCGGACTAAGGTAGTGTCACATAACGTGAGCACTTTGACGTCACGAAATCTTTTTTGGACTTCCGGGACGACGTCAAGCGTCTACGTCACCTTGTGTACAAAAAAAAATATATCACAGCAGGGGTTTACTGATGATTTTCTAATAATTGACAACGCTTTTCCACAAGAAACTGACAGTCTTTGCCAGTGGTTGGGAGGCAAGAGAGTAGACCTCTAGGTCATTAAAAAGAATGAAGTTTACAAGTGTGGTAGAATAGGGCTCCCTTCGGAAGTTTGTCGGTTTATCACCGGGCACAAATATACACGAGTGTCGAGAGCAACGGGGTTTTCTGGTACGCTTTATGCCCGGAAGACTCTCGCAAAACTTGTCAACTGCAATAGTAATTTAAGAATAACAACTTTATTTCAGTGTCTAAAGAATCTAGTTCCTGTGGAACACAGGCGCTAATTGGGGACACTCCTACAATGTACAATTAAATTACTTATAATAACAATTCCTAAGCTAAAATTTTAATTAGTAACAAATCACAAAAATGAAAGGAAAATCTAGATTTACATCCAATAATTAGAACTTGGAAAAGGGCAAAGAACAGTTAAATGCAAATCTCTTAGCCGTTTTACCATCGTTTTTTTCTCTAACTATAGCAAAGAGGTACTCTGAGAAGTATAAAACCACCATGACGGTACAAACTACATTGGCAATAACATGGAATCGCCACTTTTTACTCTTCCACACTCTTAACACGGCAACATTGAAAAGCATGACTTGTAGCCACACAGAGATGGTGTTGAAAACTACATCTATAGCAAGACCGGTAAGGCAACGTTTAAGAAATCCCCAGATAAGATCCCAAAAGTAATCCTCGGACGTTGGCAAGTTATCTGGGTACATGAACTTGTAGAGTTGATTGAATCCCACAGCGGATACCAGAGCGGTGGCTTCTATAAGGAGAAGCTGAATGCTAACATCTGCCACGAAACGCATGCTCCGAGGAGTACGAGCTTGTCCTGCCCGGAAATTCCTCGTCTGTGATGTACCACAGCGAGACAATAGTTTGTACATGTACTCCCAGATGTGATCTCGCATGGTGACCGTCACGCGCTCCACAAGATCGACCACAGCGTGACCAACGCCCAGAGCAGCAAATAACCAAAAGCTCATCAACTCTGCTTGCATAATGCGGAAGACCAAGGCTGACCCAGTGTACAAGCTACTCACTAAGAGGTGTAGGACACCGGGGTGAACGAAGTTAAACTTTGGAACGGCTGTGCGAGCTATGACTTTTGGGATAGTCACAAGTAGAGGGCTCACTCCCGCAATGAACACCTTTTCGATCTCGGTTTTCTCGTTATACCATGAAAAGACCTTATAAACCAGTAGAAAACTGACAGGTATACCAAATATGAACTGAAGGGCTAACAGCCCTGCAACTTTGCACAATCTCTTCTTACTGTACAATCTCGAAGGTATGACTCTCTTGGCGATTATCAGGCTGTTGGCAATGACCATCGAAACAAACAAGGCGTTCAACGGATAGCTCATCCAGGGACGTTTGTAGATGCCAAATATCTGCAAGAAGAGGCGATAGCTAGTGTCTGTAAATGCAGCAAGAAGATTGACTGTCAAAAGGTTTAGTTCCTTCATAGTTGAAAAGCCAAACATGCATAGCATTACACAAAAATGCCATAGCTGAATTAAAAAACCTTCAATTGACTGTCCAGTGACTCGAATACTCTGAATCAAACGAGGCATACTGTGCCATTTGAGAGTCTTTTCATAGCAAAGATCGGCTGTATTGAAATCAATCACTGCCACTGCGATTGCGAGCAACCCAATGCTAGACCCAAACAGCAACTGCATTATCAACACCGTTTTGAAACAGGTAAGAGCTGATTTCCAGCGCGGAGGACGAGATAGCTTCCAGGCCATTTTCCCAGTGCTTCTAGGAGGAGGATCAAATTCTTGAAACACGTCATCGTCGGGATCAAAGTCTGTAAAATCGCTCAGAACATGATTTTCCTCTACTTGAACCAGAGCTTGTCCTTCCGCATTATCGCTGCTTTCGCTGCTCGCTCGTCGACATGCAGTAGCAGAGGAGTTTTCGATAACACTCCCGGTGAAACTCTCTACAATGTAAACAAGAAGTGCCGCAACGGCTTCCAACATGCTGTTTCTCGGTTCTTATTTTGACTTTCAAATCATGTCGGCACCCAGTTAACTTAGTTCCGCGATTTGCCAAGTTCTATAAAAGCCACGATGACGCTCGAGCTCACAAAACCAAAAGCGAAGTGCGTTCGAGTTCTTAGAAACTGAAACTTGATATCGATGGTGGTTTTGACCTAAGAGGGTAAAAAAAACACCCAAAACCTTTTTGACGTTTTTTCACTGAAGTCGTTTTTACCTTACGCTATTCCAAGAACGTTCTTTGTCCAGAACACAAAAAGCCCTTGTTTCGTTTCTGCCGGGTGGGTCTGTACGGGTCCGCAAATGATCCCAGGACCGCAAATGATCCCGGACCGGAAATGATCCCCATATTGGACCGCGAATGATCCCGATCAAAAAATAAGGAATGGCATGGATTTATATCAGAGGAAGGTGACAACAAGTACAAAAATTATGAACTAAAAAACATGTTTTATCATTTAAAAAAAAATAGTCCACAGCTGCTGTGTTGTTCTTCGAAGGGTACAGATCGTTTTCACTGTCACGCAATAAAAGAAAATAATAAATCGAAAACCAAACAATGGAAAAAGCTAACAAATTGTGATGTACGCTATAGAAGATAACTAAATAAGACACTTCTCCAAGTTTTAGGCCTGTGCGTTTCCCCAAACTTCAGATATTCGTCGATCTCCCAGTGGACACGTTTAAGTAAATATTAACATGTCATCAGTCGAAACAGGAACTACTGATCCTGGTCAAAATGCCTGGCAAAACTCGCGTGCGTTATGTAAAACTGACCTTGCGCACTTCTCAGCCGTTCTCTGCTGAACAACGTGAAATTGCCAATTTCTTAAAAATTATTAGAATTTGAACTACGAAGAATGCTTCGTATTCCTATTTGGAATTGAAATGTATCATTAGTTCTTGCTTGAGCGAGATTTTACGAAATTCTAAGGTAAAGTGTAACTCCTTTTTGGGGGATGTGGGGTGGGGGATACTTGCATTCTATCTGTAACGTAAATGCATGTTGTTGTATCATAGGAAGTTTGTCTCCCAAACTGTTCCTCTTTTTGAACATTTGGTTGTTACTCAGACACAACCTACAAACAAGTAAAAACAAAACTGAAAACTCCTTAAACACGATTGTTTTATTCAATTAAATTATATTGTGTTATGTGTATCATATTCATAAACCATTCTCGAACTTTCGTATTCCATTCTTATCTGGGCAGCGATCGTCTAATTTGTCCGGTTTACTCTTTTTGACTGAACGATTGAGGCTGTTGCAATAACTCAACTCTCCCTCACAAGTAACATAACACGCATTTAACGCTTTTGATCTCAAATACAACGCAACTAGAACACAACTAAAACGGCAGACCAGGAGCTAACCAACATCAGCTAAAAACCAGGTTACTTTTGATAGGACAAAACGTTTCTATCTCTTTTTCTCTATTGTCCTCTCCGTTAAATAGCAGAATAAACTCAACGTGTCTAACTGAATATGGAGCACTTTTCGACATCAGCTTTCCAATTATTCCATGTCAAGCAAGCCTTCATCCCATAATGACTTGACCAATGATAAGCGGTCCTTTTCACCAAGTTGCAAGCTGTTAACTGCTATGTACTTGTCGTGCTCGCTTGTGATCTGCCGCAGGGCGTTTTTGTAACGAAAAGGGAACTTCAGGATTGAACAAGGCTGAAATGAGAGGAAATATAAATTAAAGAAAGAAAGAGACGGACTGGTATTCTCTTTTTAGGAGAGGGGAGGGATTGGGCAATTTTCTAGGGCACAATTTTTTTTTCTCACCTTCATGTTGTGCAATATTTTTTTGGGGGAGGGGGGGGGGGGGCATCAGATCTTTCTTACAGATCCTGCGTATACCAGCAGCATTTTCGTTTGCAGTGAGTCCCTTGCATCATTTGTATTTAATAAATTGTGGTTCAAGAATTGTTTTTTAAATCAAACACATGACTTGGATAGTAAAAAGCACTTGCTTTTTTTTGTTGTTTTTGTTCTTGTTCTGTTTTTTCCCGTGGCTCCCCTTACACGACTTGTTATTTTCAGACTAAAACTCAGTTCTTCCGTGGACAATGTTAGCACGCGGATTGTGACGATGTTTTCTCGGGAGGATGAACATTCGTGTATGGCCGCTATAACTATCCACGTCCATAAAATCGCGCCAGAGGATTGGCTATGTCGAGACTCTACCAGACTGACTATTCAAAGAATATAGGAACGATAATCACTCCTGTCATTTTCTAAATGGGAAACCCCGTGGGAACTACTTAGACACCCTAGCACTAAGTTACTTCAAGAGCCCATGACTCTCCTGATTACTTACGTTCTTGTCCCCCATCATATGCGAGGCTCTGTTGTTGTTGACAGAATGTAGGACCAAAATGAACTCATCCCCACCTCCCTCGTTTTCAAATCCTTCATTTTCATCCCCACTCCCCTCGTCATCGTCATCATCCTCGTCTACTTTATCCTCGTCCTCTTTTGCTTCATCTTCTTCTTCTGACTTGGCCCTCTTGCTTTTTGATTTTGTTTCTTTCGCTTTCTCCGTTTTCTTTGTTTTCTGTTTCTTTGCACCCTTCTTCGAGTCCTTCTCGTTCTCCTTTTCGCTATCTTCCGATGCCTCCTAAACAAAAGTGCAAATTTTCACCACAGAAAATAGACTAAAAACTGAGAAGAGAGCGCTGAGCGATTATCTTATGTCTCCAAATTGTGGCAAGTAGTCATTTACTTTTTGTCATGTTTAAATTTTGCATAAACAACAGCAGAACATGCGTATAATGTACAAAGTTGTTCGTATAGTTAATGTGACTCTCGCTTTTTTCAAACGAAATTCACAAACCTCCTCACTGTCCTCTTCCTCCGCTTCTTCTCCGGCTTCGGACATCTCTTCATCGCTTCCATCCGTCTCCGCGAGGCCTTCCGACAAGTCTCCGATCAAAACTCGTACGTGGTCTGGATGTAAAAGTTTGATCTTACTTTCCTCGGAGGGAGCGCTCCTCTTTTTCCCTGCGGGAGAAAATTGCGATCGTATTTTTGTAAGAAGAGCTTTACAATAAGGGGGGCGAGCGCGAACGCAGGCCCCCACTACCAGAAATTATACGCTCGAGTTACCCACATTTGGGGTAATCGCAAGGGTCAACCCGATCGAAGTGCAATGAAAGGGCCTCGCCTTGAGAGGACTGCCTGCGTGATCACAGTACCTCCCGCGTCAGGTAAGTATGCATGACAACAGGATCGAAAAGTTCATGAATCGCTGTTCAGTTCGCATCATAGTGGTTGGCGATTCTTGAAAACACCTAAACACCTGTTACGTTCACAGAACAAATTTAACCAATCAAATATCACTTAGTACGCAGCCGCATTGCGATTTCCTTTGTCTAACACAATGGGTTATGTTAATTTCTTTGTTGTGACACGAAGTGACTAAGCGAAACCACTGGGGTAAAACTGATTATTCAAAATAAGCGATTTCTCTGCAATGAATTGAATGAGCAAGGGAATAGTTATTTAAGATAAGAATCTGAGGAAATACTTATTATTAAATTTAGTAACGGAACACAAAGACAAAGTCAAAGTTACGAAAATTGTGAGCACAACGACCGAACCAACTTTCCGCTATACAGTTGCCCTGACAGCTGAGCCTGATATTTTAGCAGCTTTATCGTCCGAAACACGAAATAGTCTTTCTATTTCAACGGCATCCTTCACCGAAAACAATTCAAAGGAAAAGTAATCCTTATTTTCGTCCACAGTTGTTACGCCCCCATGCAATGTTCCCGCTTGCTGCTCGTGGCGCCTTCAGTTGTATTGTCAGACACACGACGACTCGAACATGAACAAACCATAGCAATTTATTTTCGTCACATAACAATTTATGTTCGCCACAACTATTTATTTTCGTCAGGTTTCATGCACATAGAATTCACACTGCGGATTTTGAATACAAGAATTTTGCACGGATGAAATGATTGAACATCCTTGGACACCCTGGAAGAGCAGTTTGTTAAGGCAACACGAAGTAAACATTGTCGTGCCGATTGTGCTGCTCGGTTTACGTCGTGTAGCCCCGACGAAAAGCCCTGGCTCTCCGAGCATGTGTCTGGAGATGATTTCAAAACCACAGCAACTGTGGGATCCATAAAAATACCGAAACTTGAGGAATACTTCACTGCCACAAGATGCTCAGGACATTTCTTTATGTCGTTTCCTTCGCAAATCCGGGCGCGGAACAAGCGAAAGCAGGCATTGCTCGCAGGCGTTATTTGAGTCGTCACAAAACGTTTCTTGACTGCACTTGTACAGTAAAAGTGTATCTTTCATGAGACAGAGGTAGGAGACTACAGTTAAATATCGTTGAAGAATGACGCGGCGAAACTTGTGGCTAAATGACCGGCAGCCGGTCAAGGTTTTCAAATCACTAAATGACCGACAGCATGATATTTTTCTCAAATTTTAAGGAATCGAAGGAACCCATCCAATTCAAACCATCATATGTCGATTAAGAACTGCCAAGCGATCCAGAAGAGCTGTATACATCGCAAGTTTAACGCGTGGTTTACGCTCGGCTCAGAGAGCGAGACCATGGTTTGTGGCACTTGGGTATTTTTTGGGTCGACTGCCGGTCATGGTTTTCAAATTGCTAAATGACCGGCAGTCTGATGTTTTCCTCAAATTTAAGGAATCGAAGGAACCCATCCAATTCAAACAATCATATGTCGATTAAGAACAAGAATCTGCAAGATCGCTTTGCAGTTCTTATTCGAAATATAATTGTTTGGATATGATCGGTTCGCTCGACTCCCTAAACTAGGACTGCCGGTCATTTAGTGATTTGAAAAGCGTGACCGGCAGTCGACCCAAAAAATCCTGTGTCACAAACCATGGTCTCGCTCTCTGAGCCGAACGTAAACCAAGCGTTACTCTTGCGATCTACAGTACAGCTCTTCTGGATCGCTTGGCAGTTCTTAATCGACATATGATAGTTTGAATTGGATGGATTCCTTCGATTCCTTAAAATTTGAGAAAAATATCAGACAGCCGGTCATTAAGAGATTTGAAAACCTTGACCGGCTGCCGGTCATTTAGCCATCGCGCGCTGAAACTTTAAAGCAGTCGCCAAAATTATCATTTTGCGTATGTTTTTTTTTCCTGGTGGGTTGCCTAATTTGGATTTTCTCATCGTTAGAAGGTACAGTCAGACACGTAAAAAAGTGATAAAACAAAGCAAAATGGAATTTCGCACGGTTTAAACAATTTGGGCATCCAAGACGCGCATGCGTTATCTCGCCCATAATTACATCAATTGTCCCACATGGCTTGTAGCATCACGTTTAACATGTCGCCGCTCTTCATCAAAATTTTTAACTCTGGTTTTCCTTCAACACGCATAAATCTTTCGCCTTTTACTAAAGATTTCCGTGGAGGAGAACAATTGAATGAGTCTATAGACTAATTTTTCGTCGCCCTGCCTGTCGGCGGGGCTCCTAACAAATGAGAACAATTTTTAATTGTGAGCTAAAAGGCAACTGGAAGTAAAGGAGTTTGCATTCCTCGTTAAGAAAACACGTGGAGTGCACAAGTCACGTAAGAACAAGACGTCGCCTGCCGGGTTTTCTGGTTATATGTGGCCTCGAAAAACTCTTCCATTCAAGGAAGAGATTCACTAATAATTCCTGATTTCTACTAACACTGCAAACAGACTTCAAAAGAGTCTTCAGTCTCAAAATGTATTTAAAATTCACCCAAACCCAAAAATAGTGGAATCCCAATTTCTCTAACCCTCAATTTTTCGAACTTCCCGATAACTCGAACCAAAAGTCGCTCCCTATCCTCAGTCGAACACTAATTTTAGCCCCGATTTTTCGAACCAATTCGTTTCCCTTTGAGGTTTCAAAAATCGGGATTCCACTGTATTACTGACCTTTTGTGCCGATCATCATAGATGCTTAAGTCTGTAGCTGATAATTTCTTTAGACATCAGATGAGCAATAATTCGTGCAAAGGAATAAGTGAGAGAAGTTGCGTTTGTAATCCCGCGGTTTTAAAACATACAAAATGAACGCATGGATTTTAATTTGCATTTGAATGCCAACAATAATCTTCATCATTTCCAGTTCCCAACTGGAAATCAGGACCTTACAAAATTAAAAATAATACCAACGATATTATAAATTTCATGTAGAATTTTGGAAGGAGCTACAGTAGCTGTTACCGTAAAGTTCAGGAAGTAACAACCCTCTAAAAGAGGTGATAAGATTTCTTGGTTGGTAATTGGCAAATCCCAAAAGTCACCGAGACTGCGAAAGTAGCGACCTCAAACATAATTTGAGTTGTTGTCAGAAACACAAATGTTGAGACAACAGATACAAGTGAACCAAACCAATGTGATATTTGTCTAGATGTCTCTACATGTATATATCAAGAACATTTTTTTATGTCGTTAAGAGGGATCAGTCTTCATTTGGTACACATGAAACTAAGAAAGAGCTGAGACAGACTCCAGAGTACCTGAAAGGCCTATTTAAACCCTTCAGCACGGACTATGGACTTGGAAATATTGCTAACAAATTAGCTCTGCCCAAGCCCTGAATAAGGATCTTTTTAAACAGGGTTTCCGCTACAGTGGGACACATTTTGTGGAATAGCTTTCCGTCTAACGTCAGAGCCATTAGATCATTTATTTAACTTTAAAGATGAGATCAATTTAACAAATTGATGTCAGTTTTTCATGCATCTGTCCTCTTATTGATGATAAATCACATCATAACATCATCAAAGCATGAGCCACAGGCGAGTGGTTCTGCAGTAAACTTTGACAATGTTATGAAACAATTTATAATCAATAAGAGAAAAGACACAAAAAAACTGATGTCAGTTTGTTTTTTACAATAACAAGACCCCAAAATGGTCAAATGCTGGGAATAAATGAGGGGAAAAGACGCCGTAAACTTCCCGTAAACAAAGATAAGTGAATTTTATTCAAAATGATGCGCACATTGTCAATAGCTTTTCTTGCTTTTTGATTGGCTACTTAAAAAATCAATAAAATCTCATTGGTTAAAATGTTGATAGCTGAAAGTCGATCTTGAAAGCTTGCATAAATTAAAATTTTATCCGTCTGTACTCTTATTGATAATAAAGATGAGCCAATCAGCGCCCGAGAAATTAGACAGATATTGTAAAATGTCTAATGTCCTCCTCATACTCCCACATAGCAAACATGTAAATCAGTTTTTTATCTCAATCTTGTAACATAACTGATGTTTCTACCATGTTTAAATAAAGTGCATGTATGTTAAGCTACCTGAAAGTTATCCCCCCTCTCCCCAACAGTTTCAACCTTCCCAAAGTATAGTGTAGCAAGAAGAAAAAGCTGCCAAGTTCAAAATTTGTTTCTTTTAGGGCATTACTTTTAGAATGTTGCAAACATATGTTATAAAATCACCTTTTTTGACACCTTTTCCATAAGGAGGAAGCCTGCCGCCAAAAAAGTCACGCAACATGTCATCGACAGCTTTGTCAGGATTAAGATGTCGCACCAGTCCTTTCAACAGGTTCACTAAGGTATTATTAAAAGCTGTCCTAGGATTGGCTGCTTCCTTTTCTACAGCTGTAGCTTCATTATCAGTTTTTTGGTCACCATTCTGCTCAGATAGGTCTTCTGTTTCATTTCCATTCTACAATGGTAAAGAAAGCATATTGGACTTTGTGCACCACTCATGATAATCAATGCACAACAAATATTCTCAACAACTGGCAACATTATGTTATGATTTCATATTTTCTAATGGTTTGAAAAAATTCCTCGTAAGGTCTGTCTTCTGAAGCCTCATTTCTTCATGGTAAATGCCCCTAGAATTCTATAAACAGGGCTTCAAAAAAAGCACTGTCTGGTCATCCCCGACAAGTAGATTTTCCTGCTGCATAAGAAACTTTTCAGTCTTACTTGCACAACGGGCAAGGGCCCAGGCAAGTTGTCTCCCAACTAAATTAAACAAATAAACTAAGACTTGCCGGGGCAAGCAAATTTTGGGAGCTGCTTGTCCAAGGGACAAGCTGGAATTCAATTTTTTTTTCTTAGAGCCCTCAGAAATTGGAATTTCCAGTGGAGGGGAAGTTTCAAATCTAAAAACTTACATTGAAGGGGTATGGATATATTTAGGGAGAACAGATTCATCATTTTATTTATATAAAAATGCATACCACTCCACTGCCCATAAAAGAAGCAAGGTTAACAGGGAGTCCTCTTCTGTATTCCACATCACTTTCCATGGCTTTTTCTACTGCGTTAGACAATGCACTTGTCAGCATGTTGCCCCAAGAACTAAAATAATAAAAAATATTTAACTTATTTCACACAAGCATGTTTTTTTCTTACAGTCATCCTTCGCAAAAAATTCTTAATTTATTTTGATGATGTGAAGGCACAGGAAATTACCAAGTCTTCTTTAGTGACAATTTTTTTTTGTTCACAGAAACTAACTTACACACTTGCATAAATGTTACTAACTAGCATACTAAGTACATGCTAAGTTTATTGGGACTTACTGTGCCTAGTCATGCTTACTTTTCTTGGAATGTAGTTATTGCCAGGTGCACTGCATGATCTTTGTCTTCAATGGGAGCAGGAAAATAAACAGTTCCTCTTGGAAAGTACAGGAAATCACCAGGCTGTTAAAACAAAATATATATATATATATGCAACCAGTTTTTAAACATTAAGTGACTCTCAGTACAGTTTGGATTATTATTATATTATACTGGTGTGTCTCCAATTTAAGTCAAGAGGAGTGTTTCCACCTGGCTACCAGTAGCTAAAAGTGACGGATCATGTGTACTAAAGGCATCTGCAGTCAAATGTGGATTGATTCCTTCGATAGACCGTTGATCAACATCTCAGTCGACATCCTGATCGATACTCAGTCAACAATTGATTAGCATCTCATTGAACAGTCAGTCAAGAGCTGAGTCACACCAATTTGAGTGTTGATCGATACGTACAAGTCGATCAACACTCAGCCAACTATCGACCAACTGTTGATTGAGTGTATATTAGTGTTGATTGAGATGTTGATCAAGTGCTGATCTAGTGTCTACCGAGTATCAAGCGAGAGGCCAATAATATTGAGTGAGGATTGAGATGTTGATCAAGGGTATCGATCGACAATCAATTAACCGCAAATACCTTTAGTACACATGATCCAAAATGACATGCTAATAAAGTTTAATGATGATGATGATGAGGAGGAGGACAAAGCGCTGGTCTTAAGTGTCTACAGAGTATCAATCGAGAGGTCAATAATATTGAGTGATGACTGAGATGTTGATCAAGGGTATCGATCAAAAATCAACTGCAAATGCCTTTAATACACATGATCCAAAATGACATGTTATAAAGTTTGATGATGACAAGGACGATGACAACAATGATGATGATAATGATGATGATGACTGAATTCACTATAAAAATCACAGTCACACAGAGCAAGAAGTATGCACATGTACCTCCATGTCAAATTCATCAGTGGGTTCTCCCAAGTCACTTAATTCCAAGTCAGGACTGGCTTCTTGTGGGAGTTCTTGCAAGGGCTTGAAAAGTTTCCATTTTGTTTTTCCCTCTAGCTGAAGGATAAATGTCTGAAACAGGAAACACAAAGAGCATTAAACTTAATGTTACTGTATAATTTTCTTCTTTTAAATCAAAGTGGTAAAGACATATTTTGTGGATATCTCAATCAATCAATCACATTGTCAATGAACCTTAAGGTTATCTACTTGCCATTTTTTTTCACCAATCTATTTTTGGGAACAGGTGATATTTTTGTTAAATCTTCTTAATTGAAGCACTTAAAAAGTTTTGGCAGCTTTTGATTATTTTACCAGTAAATATTCAGGCCCGGGGAGGGGGGATACTCCCTTATATGGGCTATATAGGTATGTGTGGCCCCAAAGGGTATGGTTTTTCAGCTGTTTTGGTCATAAACAGGGTATCGATTTTAGCTGATTTTGCCACTTTGGTCATAAATAGGACATGGTTTTTGCACTCTAGCCTTGATATGGGTATGTTTTTAAGAAGAAGCCACTTTTTCATCATCAACGAAAAGAAAATCAGCAAAAGCCCTTCACAAATTATGTTTACGGTAATTTAACATTGGTCTGAACTAGGGAACTAATTATAATGCAGGTCTGAAACAGGTTTTGGATTTAAGGTTCAGGTCATAAATAGGGTTTTGAATTTTTGGTCAGGTCATAAATAGGGTAGGGAATATCACAGATTTTGGTCATAAAAAGGGTAAGGGTTTTGGGAAGCGGGCCACACACCCCCATCCAATTTTTTTGGGAGTACCCCAGTCCCCGGACACCCAGGAGTGCTCTGAAATGAAAACTATACCATATCATCAGGGTGTGAGCAATTGCTTAGCAACATCGAGACAAGAAAAAAATTCCCATTCAACTGGTAACAGTTTCCGTGACAGGAAAATGAACAGTTGTGAGCTTAAAATATCCATGAACTAACCTCCATTTCATCAAACTGTGGGGCTAGACCTTGGGAACCAGGTTGGAAGATAAATGCATCAGCAGCAACAAGACACCTAAAGTAAGTTTCCAGTGACTCTATTAACCTCCAGACTTCATCCTATGAGAACAATGCACAGTGAAATAAGACAACCTAAACCCAAATCCCCAGGGGGGGAGACTCCCATATGACAGGTGTGCTTGCCGTACCTTTTAGGGTTTAAAAAGTCGGTTTTGGAAACTCTTAGGTTGTCCATCTTCAAAAGGTCCACAGCAGAAACTTTAAAGCTAGACGTTGCAGCTGCTGGTGTCGCCAAAATATGCAACCAAATTGTTTTCACTGGCGACTAACTTTTCACAATTTTCACTTAAAATACTTTTGGTGGTGACTACATCTGAAAACTTAAAATTTCCTACGAGCACCTCATCCTTTTTATACGGGAGTCTCCCCCTGGGACCTAAACTGGGAAGACCACTTTATATAACTGACCATAAAAAGTCCAAAGATTGTACAAAATATGCATGGCAACCTTCATAGGGATTTGAAATCATGGTTTCCTACCAATGTTTTACCATTCAACTGAAGAACATTAGCAGGGGTTTAGTTAATTGGTATTTTAAAATGCTAGCATACTTGGAAACACAAGCATCTTGGTGAAGTGTGACTTACAAAGCAGTAAGTGATAAAATCAATCCCATAAAAGTCAAAAGAAATTTCTTCTGTAGTTTCCTATTACAGTCAACTCCTGATCACTCAAAACCTCACAGGTCATTTTCTATATACTTTTACCCTTGATAACTTGAACCAGGTTTGTAAATGAGTGACATTGTTCAAAACAAACAGTACTGTAGTCCAAGACATTGAAACTATTTCTCAAAAAAGTAACTGGCTTGAACTGTTACTGTGCATTCCTTTGGGGTAACCTGGATCAGGATCAGTGATCCAAAATCACTCAGATCATAGTTCATCAAAGGAACCAATGAATCCATGACCAGAGTGGATTCATCGGTTCCTTTGATGCAACACAATCCAAGTACTCTTGGATCACTGATCCTGATCCAGATCACCCCAAAGGAACACACCCTTAACCAGTAGCCAATCATTGTTCTCTTTGAAACCTGCAAAGTTCACTGTAACTGGACTTCCCCTGCTGCTTTGTTTTGTTTCACCTTAGATATGTTCCGATTCATACAGTAATTAAGAAATGCACTGTTCCATTTTCACTCAACCTCTCTATAACGAAACTCGATTAAAATGTACTCTGCATGAATAGAAAACGGTTAACACCATTTTTGCCTTGTTTCCCATAACATCCAGGAATATCATATAAACTATACATTGTGTAATAAAGATGGAATAAAGTCATAAAGTGGAATCCAATCATGGAATAAAGACAAAAAGTGTGTATAATTAGGCTTTCTTCGCCCTAAATTATGCCCTAATACATCTCAATTTAAACACTATAAACAAAAAGGAACATCACTGACTTTGACAAACATCACAACCACTACACCACCATTACAGACAAATATTCATATCCAGTCCAACAGGTAGACCATATCTAACTGACATGACGGTCTCGTTTCCTCGGCCACATGCGAACATTTACAGCTTCAATCATTCGCTCGATTCTCGGCAGGGCTTTATCGTTTTAACGACAACGAACGGCTTTGCTGACAATGTCATTTCGTTATTTCAGGATTCAAATTTCGTTCATGAACGCCGCAATCAGGGGAAATGAAGTACATAATTTCACTATTGACACGTGTGTTCATTACAAAAGTACAAACCTTGAATCTATCTGGTTGGTGAAACTGTACGGCGACTCCAGCCGCCTTGATGTGTTTCAAATTGACGCGTCCCTCCTCGTTCAGCGGCTCTGTCTTTCCTTCGACATACCGACTCAAACTGACGTCTTCAGTGAATTGAATTTCTTCTTTCTTCAACAGGCTTTCCACATCTTTCTTCGAAAACAGTGCGCCATAAAAGTCGGCGTTCTCCCGCTTAACGAAATGCGGTTTCTTCTCCCAGGTCTCTTCGAAAAAGTTCTCCAAGTCAGTCACAGCAAGAAGAGACTCGACAACCCTTGACGATGAAGTGTAGTCTATCGCCTTGGTCGCAGATGTCGAGGATTCCGGGTCATTTGCACTCGCTACTTTCTTCTTCTTCCCTTCAGGAGAAGTCGTAGAAGCACTAGCAGCACGATTCTTTCGCTTCATGGTCTTACTCAGGCAAAAAAAGAAGAATTTAGGACAAATTTAGCCCGCACAACACGAAGGATAGAAGCCTTGCTCTGCGACTTGTCACGTGTAGTCAGCCCTCTGCAAAGCATCGTAAAGGCGCGCCAATTTAAGTTGATCCAATTGGTCAATTTTTCCCGCCAATTTTAGAGGCGTACCCGCGGTTATTTGACTTTAGATTCGCATTTTGAGCAATCGCAAATATGTAATTTGCTACCCTGGAACGAGGTAAAAACGAACAAACAGTTGAACATCTAAATGAAATTATCTGGGGGAAATAATTAACAGAACAAAACTTCTGTAGGGACTGAAAAAGAAAGATGAATAGACTAATTTTTTGTTACACCTGATGCTGAACTTACCCTGTCACGTGGCTACCTGTGCAGACAAAATGTCTCCATTTCCTTTTTCAGCCATACCACAAATTCCATTCTAACAGAAAGCTGAAAGTACAGTTGATCCTTTATATTACCAGTAAGCAATGATGAAATCTTAGATATACCAAAAAAGTCATAAAGGTTCAGGGTATGGATCTTCCTCTCTTGGTTTCTCCGGCCAACATCAAAAAGGACGGAAACCACCAGAAGTCAGCAGTCGGGAATAAGCCTTCCTCCATCTTCCCCGTGTCTTTAAATTTAACCCCCGTTTCCTCACTGGGGCCTATCCTCCTCCGCCCCCCCCTCCTCCACACACACCCCGCCTTGAAGCCGAACTCTCAAAAAAATGCATATGATTTCAAGCTCGTTCCAAGACTTGCTGCAAGTCGACCTTTGCTTAATTACTTATTCATCTCCCTCGAGTGAAGCGAGAGATCAATCTTCGAGCGACGAAGATTTCAGATTGGAAAGAACTTTTCGAAAGTCTAGTAAGTTCCTGGGTCTTTTTATAAATTTTACCAAAGGTCACCGAAAACAAAAATGCAAGCGGAAATTAGCTCGAGAGCCTCTCAAGAGGAGCTCATAATCTTTTTTGTTAAAAGTGGAAATTAGTTCAAGAGCCTCGTAAGACGAGCTCATAATTCTTTTTCTTGCTGAGTTTTGACGGTATTGTAAAACGCACTGCAGCGTTGAAAAGGAGCCCTGAAAGCTGCGCCATCGGTACAAGAGGAAGGTGCGCATGTGCATAAGATTCGTCCCGTCCCATCCCGTCACACGTGTCTCACACAGTGCAGTTTCACGGAGAATCGGGGACGCGGAAGAGTCAAGAAGGGAGCACAAAGTGTGACTGCGATGGGCGGGCATCAGATCGGTTACACCGACTCAAGTCTGCGAATGAAACCACTTTCATTAAGTAGTGGCGGTGCCGACGAGACGCCCGTGAGGAAAGATAGTTGCGATAGCAGGCTGTTACATAACTTCACGTCCATTTTTATCGTACTCAAGTAGAGACAAGTGGATAAGCTTCATCTTTTAAAAGAGCGCGACAAATGGACGACATAACTCAGTCTCGGCACAGCCTAGACTACCAATATTGAGGCCAGAAAACATTACTGGCTGTTGTAATTTGCACTCAGAGAAGATACACACCGCAGCCCGCACAACTCACCTTCTGTTCCGTATTTGTATTTGTTCTTCCTCCACTTCATGTTGAGATGCAAAAGTTTATAACCGGGAAGCATCTTTTGTTTTCGAGGTTTTCAAGGCTGTTCAGTCTTGACGAATTAAGTTCGCCATTGATTCTGGCTGGATTCTTCTCCTTTGGTTTGTAAAAAGCGAAGGAAAACGAAATAAGTGCTAACAAGGGTAAACGGGTCTACATATAATTAGTCTAACTATATCTTTTCCCTCTCTATTTCTTCTTTTATATTGTAATTTCCGTTTGTGTGCTCAGCTGAGCAATTTTTATTTTTGCGGAAGCAAAGTGTTAAGAAAAAATTCAGAAACATTCTTTGTAGTCTTGGAAACAAAATTTGCCTCCGTCACGATGAAATGTTACATCTGCGCGAAAAAAGGGAAACATTTACATCTTCTACAAATTAAAGTTTCCCGTTGTTTGTAGAGAGGGGACTAGAGAGGGGACTAGAGACTTTCCTCGTCGCCTCTGATCTGTCCTCATATTATTCAGCATATTGTGAAACTTCTTTCGTCATGTTTATATGAAAGAACACTTGCGAATTTATAAATAGCGTTAAGACATTGACGCCATACACACTTAATCAATTTTTTTTTTTATCAAAGGAAACTTCATTCCACTGTAGCACAGATGAGATAAGAAGAATGCGGCCTGAGTTAATGAGAGTCACTGAAGAAAGAAAGGTGGACCGAAAACGTACGACCAAAATTTCGATGCCTTCTGTTGTCTGCCTCTTCAAGGTTTTTTCTACTTTTTCAAACAGTAATAGCTATTTAACTCGTCGCAATCATGGAAAAATATAAAAGGTACAAGCAGTAAGCCCATAAAGACTGAACATATTTAGTCTGCAAGTCTGGAGATTCAATTAGTGAATCGCTTTTTTGGTTGTACCCAGGCAAGCCTACATTTCTGAATATCAAATGTCCTTTCATTAACCCTCTGTGGGCCGAACCGCCGAAGGAAAAAGATAAAAAAATAATAATTGGATCTGAAAGATGAAAGGGGTACCGAGATGATAGAGTAAACAGAAAGCTCATAACAGAAACATGCCTCTCAACAGCTGCAGAAGTCAACATGTACCTGGCAAAGCGGTTACAAGCGAATCTAAACTAAGAGCACTGCGTTTTCTAAATTTTCCAAGTTGTAATTTGCCTCGGGTAGCTTGATTGCAAGGTCACATTATTGAATCGTCATGTGCAACACATTGAAAGCGTCGACCAAAAATAGCCGAGATACATCAAGCTACATCAGAATGTGTCGCACGCTCTACAAGAGTACTCAAAACAAACAGTGCATAATTAGCACAAAACAGATAACTTTTGTACATAGTCGTTTGTAACAGTGTAATGTCAACTCGTATTTTACGGGAAAATTTAGAAATTATTACTACACATTCACGACAAATGAGTAACGCACGACTAAGCTCACATTTGCCATGACCCTCGTGAAACGAACATCCAGGTACCTTTCACTGGGTGCATCTATACGACAGCACAGATCAACACAAGAAAAATACGTTGTTTCTTGAAAATCATCTTTCTATTTTATACAACTTAATTTTTGAATTGTAGCATTTTACATATGAATCAAGCTGCAAAAAGACAATATCTCAACAAAATATAACTTCTGTTGGTGTTTCCTGACCACAGCCTGCGAGGACAAACAGTAACAAGACAACCTTCGCTACATTTTTACAAACGATATTAGAGGTTTGTGATATAAAAAACAACTCGAGAAAAAGTCACTGACATTATTTCCATAAGCTACTAAACTGGACGTGAAACACGACTATGTAACACAACTTACTTACGCTACCCTCGAACAACATCGATAATACAAGTGTTGTTTTTAGTTCGTCTACAAAATGGACTTTCGCTTTACTATATTCGATCACAAATTAGGTGCTAATTGCTAAGTACTAGCTGAGTATGTTTTCGGACCAAGGACTGTCTAACTCTTCAAGGAGCGATTTTGATATCGCGATGTTAGCGAACGAAAATCAAACTCGACGCCGACGAGAAGTGAATCGTTTTGCTATGAGCAGCAGCACCATGCCGCAACGACCCATGTTTCATGTCAGTGTTTATACCGTCAAAACTTCATACTGTTGTTTCGTTCGAATTATGTCCGCCATGCCTTTGCGTTTGTGGTCGGGGAGGCCTTTTCCCAGTTGCCAAATAGTAAACCTTTTTCCACGATTGCAGTGTTTTCGGAGACCAAATCCACATCCCCGAAATTGTCCCGACGAACAGCGACATGAATATTTTCAGCTGAAAGATGATCAGATTTGGTACAGCGATCCTACTTTCTCGTTTGCCGTAGAACCAATATTCTTTGTTTGCATATTCGTAAAAGTAACAGGCGATGACCGCAGTTGCAGGCACGGTAGAAAACACCGAAAATATGCCAAGGCGAACGATCAGTCTTTCTAGTTTGTTAGTCTCGCTTTTTGTGTTGCCATCGCGCTGAATGGTCGCGCGGATGCGAAACAGCCCGACAAATCCAGCGATCAGAAACAGTGTGCCAATAATGAGATAAGTGAACTGAGGACCCAGAACGAATGCGGCCAAAGCGATCAAGTCCTGATTCCCAACAAAACAGAGTCCGGTCAACTCGTCTCCGTCTATTTTACCAGTTATGAAGATAAATATTGTTTTGATACAAGGCAATGTCCATGCAATAACATGGAAGAGATTCGAATAGGAACCAATGGCCTCGTAGCCCCATTTCATGCCCGCAGCGAGGAACCAAGTTAACGCCAAAATGACCCACCAAATTGTAGCAGCCATGCTGAAAAAATACTGAACTAGAAACACAATGGCGCATCCGGTGTTTCGACGACCGTCTTGAATGAGAAACTTAGGCGTGTTGTACTCGTGATCGCAAGAGATCGTCTCGCGGCCAGCTGCGAGGCGAACGATGAAGGAGATCGAGTAAAGGCAATAACAAAGAGCGAGCCAAATAATCGATCGCTCAGGATACTTGAATCTCGCCGTGTCCACGAAGAAGGTGCACAGAACGACTAGCGTCGACACAAGACACAGGATAGACCAAGCGGCCATCCATTTGTCCATTATATTTTTATCCGAGGTCGTAAAAATACCTTCTTGATTACAAAGTACGGCGCACGATCTGGTGCTCTCAACATAATAATAATTCACGCTATTTTTGAATTTCCTGCACTCCTCCGAGCCAGTATATATTTTTCCCGCTGGCGTCGTTGTAACAGTGTCGTTTGGCTGTATGCTGGTGCTTCCAACTAGCGGTCTGGAGCTTGAATCGTCGGTGAAGTTCGGCCCTGGCATACACATATTTTCTTGACCGATGTTCTTGTCTTTGAACTTGGTGCAGTTGAGCTTCGCTGGCCAGGGTATGCCAAACTCTGTAAGCACGTGTAAGCACTGTTTGCGAACGTACTCGCACAAAGGCCGGCAGGATGTAATCAAAATTTCCACCATTTTGGTGCACATCGGAAAATACGCAGAACATAAGAAAAACTGTAACTGGCTGGCGCAGTTGTACTTTATCAACGGAAGGTACTGTCTCAGTTCTTGTTCTGCTTCTTTCTGAGTATCATGCCCGAGCATATTAGGCATTCGAGTTGCATTATAACCCAAGTCGCTGCAAAGTGGCACAGTGATCGTTTCGCACTGCCATCCTTTTTTCCTGAAACCTTGGCCGTGTACAATAGCGACGGAGCTCGCCAAGATCGCAACAAAAACCAACGAATTCTTCAGCGGAGCCATGTAAATCTCACGCCAGCCGAGATCGACACTCCAACCTATTTCTGTCTACACAGTATTATCTCGAAATATCCCTAAGATTCCCAGTCATTCAAACGCTCGTTCGGGCTTAGGGATTTTAGCTCTAAATTGGTTTTCGAGGTTGGTACAAAAGCTCGCTCACCTGAGCGGAATTCACAAATGCTAAATGTAAGCAAAAGTTCATCTGCATGTGAATTGGATGCCGTGTTGTTCATTGTGCTACTCTCGAGCTGTAGGTACTCCAGCCAATCACAGAGCGTTTGGATGATTAAAAACCACGCCTATCAAAACCATCTGTCAATTAGTTTTAATTTTGTTCCGCAATCTCATTGGTTAATCAAATAAGCAAAGCAAACCTAGTAAAATGCACCGTGCTTGCTTTCAATTTGCAAACTCCATTTCTGTTTACATAGCCTTTGTTTTTAACACATGAAAGCTCTTCTTTAACCTTTGTTCGCTGCAAAACAGAACAGTTTCATCGAATAGGCCTCTATGTAAGGTCTCTGTACTCCTCGCGACTAATTTAGAGGGATTGTAGTCACTATGTGAATGAGAGGAGATAACACAAAGCCGCCTAAATTGTTTAATACTCCGAAACTTAATCTGTGTTTTTAAAGAGTCGACTTCGACCTTTTTGTTCTGTAAGCTAAAAGCTTGTGAAGAATATTTGCATAATTTAGCCAAGCTCAAAAAAAAAAATTGAGAGTGATGTAGCGCAAAAAATACAAATAATTTGGATAGTTGAACAAGCTTTATTTCATTGTCTCTTCGGACTGCTAACTTTTATTTTTTGGATGATTTCAGAATAATCAAACCGGTATTTGCAGTCCTGTTCAAGAACTTCAAGTTCGTATAAGAGCGAAAGTAAATAAGTTGAGTATGTGTGTGAGGGAAATTTGGCTAATGCACCTTTCCATCCAGACAGCCAGAAAAACTCTTTTTCGTTTCGCACCGCCAGTTATACGTGCACTAGCATTTTACTGTTTTGGAACTAAATTTAATAGGTGTCTAGAATCCAAATTATAATTATAATAAAAGGTAAAATATATGAAACTATACATAATAACTCTGAAGCCGAAACGAAACATTTTTTTAATGATCTGTTTCCAGTCATCAGGACGTGGATGATGATCAACTAAACTGACTAAAGAGTTTGCCACAATTATTATTCCATTATCGCGTGAACAGTTGGAAGCCCTTTCATGACTAAAAGAAAAAAAAAAATCCGTTTAGCTTAGAGGTTGCGGTTTGTTGATTTTGAGGCTTTTGTGTCCGCTGTGTTGTGTTTCAAATTGTTCGGGATTCAGCGGGCTCGATTTTCAAATAATTTCCTTAGATCCCTGCAGTTCTTTTCCGGCACTGTTTAACGCAGAGATTCCATCTCTAGAAAAGCACCGCTTTTCCGTTCTAATCGGCAGTTTAAAATTTGTCTCTGGTTATTCGCAGCAGTATTTATTCAAGGATACATTGCCGCAGGGTCACAGTTCTTGCTGCGTTATAGAGTATATATAGAGAAAATAGATCTTCTAACAAAATTGCCGACATTACAATGGCGACATCTCGATTCTTCAGCCGCATCAATCTTGATCTGAACGTCTACAAACTATGTTCGTAAACGTTGTGCCTGGAAACACAATTTTGTATTTCTGAACAGTTGGAAAATCACATGGTAGTCATAGCAGATGGAAGTCTTAAAGATCTGCGGATTATAAGGGAACAAGGGCGGTTAGGAAACCGATGTTTGGATAACTTAAAACCCGCACAGTCGGCAGCCTTTTGGCTTAGGGGTTTACTTTTCTATAAAGACATGATAATGAAAAGTCAACAAGATTACTGAAAAGACAAACTTAACACGATCACCAGCTGAGCAATTTTGAGTGTCATTTTAAAAGATTTTGCCTTTAGTCCGGCATCGATCCTTCTGATCTGAATATTATCCACGTGCATTCCGATCGAGACTGGCAAATTACCCCCAGAGGTTCATGACAAAAAGTGCCTATGAAAGTGCATTCCGATCGAGCCACGGTGACCAGGGGACTGATCTTGCGATCTACTCCCGGATGGCCAAGGGTAGCGGCTTTCACGCGTTCTCCTTCCCTACCTTCCCCTCTCAAAGTCCTTGCATGAAAAATAAACAGGAGATGAGCTCCTGACGTAACTCTTTTACTGTACTCCTGGGCTTCGTTAATAGCGTAAACATACGGTAACCCGGGGGGTCTATCCCTTGTATAGGCTATATAGGTATGTGTGGCCCCAAAGGGTATGGTTTTTTGACCGTTTTAGTCATAAATAGGGTATCGAGTTTGGCCATTTTGGTCATAAATAGGGTATGATTTTTGCATATAGGGTAGGGGAAATCGCAGATTTTGATCATAAATAGGGTGACGGTTTTGGGAAGCGGGCGACACGCCGCCACCCATTTTTTCTGGGGGTACCCCCCTGGAATGGTAAGCATCATATCTCTCGGCTCGTTAGCCAATCAGATTCGCGGATTTTCAATAGATCACAGTCAGCTGAATGGCTACAATTAACAATTATTACACGAGCGCGCGTTGGATATGAGATGGTAGATAGCCAACAAGACGCGTAGCGCCGAGTTGGATATAATCCTCTCATATCGAATAAGCGCGAGTGGAATAATTGTTTTATTAAAAACGCCCCCCAAATATAGAAAACCAAAATGAAATAAAAACACCCAAAAAAGTCACGCGTACGCTTACCATATTCGTAGAGCGTGCGGTATAATGGCTCACAACCATGATGGCTAAGCCAATGAAAACTCTCGAATCGCATTATCTAATGATCTAGTTTTTTAATAATAGACTGTTAGTAGAATTTAACTACTAGTAACCCATAAGCGACCACTCAAAATGTGAAGCCTAGGCGGCCGCTTACGGGAGGTGGTTGCTTATGAGAGTTACTTTGCCTCATTAGCATATGGTAACTGCTGAGACTTACCCCATGCACCAATAATATAATTCATCAAGTTAAAACAGATTTTTACGTTGAGAAAACGAAACGAAGACCAGGACCGGAAAATGGAACATTGCAAGGCCCTTTCGAAACGTGATCACTCTTCTGCTATTGCTGATCACGTTAAAATAACTGGTCTCGACATCAAATGGGACCATTTTGACATTTTGGCGTCCGGCAAAACTGACTACCATTGTAACGTTAAGGTCATTCCTCAGAATTGCATTACACATCCCTGTTGCGCACGATTTTCGCGTCATTAACGCGCGCTCACGAGCGCGTGCACGTACAAAACATAAACAAAATGGTGGCTTTTTCCATGGATAGTAAAGAGACAATCCAGTCTTCTACTATCCATGACTATAACAAGTCGCGTACTTTGAACTCACTTGCGCCCCGAAACACGCGTTGCCACATTACGTGTTTCGGGGTGCAAGGAGACAAAGTGTCAAGATTGGTGTCTCGAAAGCAAAAGAATAAATGTGGCTGGACAAGGCCAGCCTAAACAGTTAAACATTCAACCGCATGGCCAGTACCATGCTTAAAAAACGCAGCGTATCGGATCTGAAAAGACCTACGGTCCGAAAATACATAAATGAGAAACCAGAAACTGGTTTCTTACTTTCTATAAGCCCACTTGTTTACAGAAATATTTTTACGGACGAGTACTGTCCATCCGGGTATTTTCCGCGGACGGGCACTATGGGCTGATAGTGTCTCTCCGCGGATGAACGCTATCGCGTCACGTGATCAGTTCCAACCAAAGTATCGGGGAAAATTTAGTGGTGAGTCCTCAGCTCATAGAAACGAGTAGCACTGGGAACGAGGACAGCAAAGAGCGTAACGTACGAGCCCCTCCCCCTAACATGATCATCTTATTAGTGCCGCACCAAATTTCAGCTTCCTTATTTTTCTTCTGCTCACAGGACAGTGTTGTGTCGTCTTTTATTGTAAGAAAAGCCATGCAACAAGAGGCATAAGAGTTATAACCTACTTTACCTTTTGCGTGGAGGAAGTAGACAAGTTTATCTCTATAGGGGAGGGGTGGTGTGACCTTTGAACCAATTCCCAGGTCTTTAGCGATCACTTCTGAGAGAAAATGGCGGTCGTTTATGATCAACATCTTTACTCTACAATTACGTAAGAACTACTGATCACTCGGTTCTTGTCATGGTTGTTCTATCTAAAATACTGCATCCCTTTCATACGACGCTTTCGTGTCACGAGTTAGCGCATACATGGACTTCCTCGTGTCCCTCAGCGGCCGCTGGAGTGTTTCGTTCTTGTATGGTGGAATCCTTGAAGATCTATGGCCTTCTTTATTTGGTAAGCAACATCAACATAATCACGCGAATATAGACCTAAGAAAACACGATGTAAAGAAAATGAAACAATGACCATTTCACACTAAGGAAAATTTCTGGGCTATTGCGTATAAATCACAATGAAGCCAGCACTACACACAGCTCAAGGTACGACAAGATCTGGATTTCAGGAACTAAAGTTGACGCGACTGTTATAACTAGCGCCTTAGATGTAAGTCTCGTGCCCATACTGAGGGTCACATGAACTTCGATCCACGTCAACTTCCGCTTATGAACCAAATTTGCACTCCTAGATGAAAAATTTAAGCAGTTACAGCCGGGATCGACATAATTTCAAAAAATGTGTTATCTTGAATCAATAGAGCAAAATGTCAGTAGTCTCAAATAATAAATCACGGAGGCGAACTTTCTTTCGAATTATTTCAAACTCGGCAGAGGGATTGTCTTACAATTTTCCGATGATATATGGTCAATGTTCAACTTGTTTAATGGGTGCTTGGAGATGGAAACCAAAAATGGTGTGAAGCCACGTAAAGGATTTTATATATACATGTACAGCTGGACCCTGTTAATTTGAACTCAGTGATTTTGAATTTCCCGTTGTTTCAAACTCAAAACCATTTCCCTTGGATTTGCCTGTCAGTCATTTACTATCGGCCATTTCACACTCCCGCTGTAATTTTCGAACTAGTTTTTGTTTCCCCTGAGAGTTCCAAATAGCAGGGTTCAAATCAAGATTTTGAGAATTAGGAGAAGGGGTTTCTATGTATTATGATATGATTGGTTAAATCACAGGCATCTCAAACTCAAGATTTGTGGAATTGATCAAATAGTAATGATTTTTCTACACTTATCTAGTGGGATATGACTGCCTAAAGTGTGCGCTGTTGAGTTACACTTTAGGCCATTGAGAATTTGCGGGCTTAAATCATTAATTAATATTGTATTGATTCCTCGAATTATGAGTTTGGGACGCCTGCAGTTAAATAGCTGATTGTTAACATCTTTGTGATGAACATTTGACAGATCTTTATCAATTGCGCTTGACTGCCTTACATGACTCTTACTCAGTGCTGGAAATAATTTGTCTTCTTTAACAGGACATGTGTCCTTTCAAATCTTCATTTTGGTCGGACATCTTATCAATTTGACCGGACACTAATTTCCATAATTGATTAGCGTAATTAATTAGCATAATAAAATTTACTGGCATACTGTAAAGATTTTTAATACAACTCGTTCAAAACTGCATTTAAATTTGATTTATTTATCATTTATGATGATTATATGACTTAATCTACAAGATGACTGCACAGATCTCTCCTGGTTATCTTC